CCGCCGGCCCCGCGGCCCCGCGCCCCGCCGCCCCGGGGCCCCGCTCCGCAGCGCAGCGCATGGAGCCCGGCGGGGACCACCGGAGCCGGAGCGGCGGCGGCAGGGGCGGCCCCGGGCCAACAGCGGCCTCCGCACGGGGCCGACGGCTGCCGCCCGCCGGATCGAGCGGCGGCGCGGAACCCGAGGAGGACGACGGCGGTAAGAGCTGGGGCCGGCGGCTCGGGCGGGGGCCCCGGCATGGGGGGAGGGGAGGGCTGCGGCTCCGGGCTCCGGGCCCCTCTCCGCCGCCAAACAAAGGGGGGGACGCGGGCAGGGCGGCCGGGGGCGCCACCTGGCGGGCGCGGATCGCGCCTGCAGGGCCAGCAGGGGAGCCCCCCGCCCAGCTACCGGGGTCCGCCTGCGGGGCTCGGGCGGATTCCCTCCCCTTTAAAGGGCCCCGCGGCCCCCGCCTTCAAGGCCAGGCCTAGGGGTCTCCAAAGGGCCCGGCCGGGCGCCACGGGGCGCGCGCTCTGGGCTGTTGGACTTGTGCCCCCGCCCCTTTCTCTTTCAGACTCCCAGGTGGTCTCCCTTATCCGGCTGTCTCTTAAAAGTCTGCCCAGACTGGGGGGTCCCTTTCGGGGGGCTTCCCCCAGAGGAGCTGAGCTGGGAACTCCTCTGCTTTAAGTCGGGCTGCTCCTCCCCTCCCGTGGCCTTGCTTACAGACAGGAAACCTTTTTCTCCAAAACCCCCCACCCCGCCCCAACGTTCTTTCTTGGAAAGCGCTGGCTGGAGCCTCGGGGGGCCCACCGCTACCTTAACCCACCGCGGGTAGTTTTTAAAGGGATGGGCTCGCTCACAAAGGCAGATACCCCCTCCTGTCCGCGCGTTATCGCCTCCCTTCTTTTAAGAAAAATTTGCCACAATTTGTCGGCTATAGTAGGACCAGCCCGTCCTCCCCGCTCGCTCTCAGAGGACGCTGTGCTTCTTCATTCCCCTGCTGCCGGGTCCCCGCCTGAAGAAGACCCATGACGGTTCAGTCCGGGCTAGGGAGACTGCCCTCATCTCGGAGCTCCCCTCCCAGAAACTCCCCATCCCCTTTTGTTTTTAAAGAATCTCAGCTCCTCCCCTTTTTTTGGGTTCTTAAAGGGCCAATCCACCTTAGACTCGCTTAGATCCGGCGCTGGAAGGATGCTTGGAGACCAGCTAGCTCTCCAGTGCCTTTTCAGACAAAGAGGCTGAGGCCCAGAGAGCCACATGACCTATCAAAGATCACAGAGCAAGTTACCAGTGAAACCATACTGGAACCGAGGTCTCTGACTTTGAAGCCAGTGCTTTTTTCTTTGGATCTACTTAAAACAAACAAAAAACCCACAATGGTGACAGGAGCCCTCTCTGGTCCTGTCTTTTGTTTCTCTGACCCTGAGATTCTCCAGTGGGAGCATGACCACACTTGTCCATTCAGCTTATGTGGCCAGGAAACACTTTTCTAAATAAAACAGAGTCCAAACTGCAGGGAAGGTGGGGGACTGCTTGGGGGTGTCTGCCTGTTTGGCAAAAGGGCACACCGCTGGCTTAGTGTGCTGTGCTTGGGCCTCTCCAGTGCCTGCCCCCTGATTGCCGGGCAGTGGCGGGCAGTGGCTGGTTCTCTGCGAGAGCAAAAAATAAATCCCCAGGAAGACTTAATGGGCTCTGGTGGGTGGTGGCCACTCCCTTCCCTCGAGCCATCCCCTTGCAGGGTCATTGGCTCTCCCTAGAGTCTAGGGATGCCAGGGTCCTAGAAACTCCTTTCCCTGGAGGTGTTGACAGCTTTGTCTTGGGGATCCCTCCCCTCCCAGGGGTGCCTGTATTTGGGAAACTGGCCATGCTTAGCCCCCTCAAAGGGGACTCTCAGAAGGCTGCCTTTGAGGCATTATTGGAAAAAGGGAGAAGATGTTTGGGTGGGGCCCTCCTGGCTGGGGCCTCGGACGGGTGGGTCCCGTGTGCAGCCCTGGATGCAGACAGATGCCCCCTTTGTTCTGCCACTGCCCGCGCTGCGCCATAACCGCCCCGGCCTGCTGCTCTCCTGGCTTTTCCCTCACAGCTTGCCGCCAGAAAGGGGGCCATACAGAGCTGGCTGCCGCCTTGGCCTTCACTTTATTTTTTAAAAAGTCAGAGCTAGTCCCTCGGCAGTGCCCTGCATCCTTTTGTTCTTGGTCCTCTCTTAAAGGATCCTCACTCTTTGTAAAGGGCCAATGTTTTGACTCCTGGGCTCTCCCACATCCCTTTTATTGCTGTTGCCATCCTTTTCCTGCCCCCCCCCCACCAAACGGCCCCTCCCCCACCCCCCCTTTCTCTGCAGAATCCCAGCCCTGGGTTCATTTCCTGGATATCAGGCATTGAAAAACTGTCTCCCTTTCCCCCCTCCCCTTCAGGGCAAGATCTTCAGCTGGATGGGGGTGCCTTGGGGTCCTGGGGGAGCGCCCCCCTGCCCTCCTCCAGGGCCAGGGGCCCGGCATCTTCAGGCAGGAAATACTCAGACCACTGTGAGGCCCGGGCCTCGAGGCCTGGAAAGAGCCGCATCCCCGGCCGTGACCACCGGCGCTACTACCACGACCACTGGCGGCTGGAGTACCTGATGGACTTCAACCCCGCCCGGCACGGCATGGTGTGCATGGTGTGCGGCAGCTCCCTGGCCACGCTCAAGCTCAGCACCATCAAGCGGCACATCCGCCAGAAGCACCCCTACTCCCTGCACTGGAGTCCCCGGGAGAAGGAAGTCATCAGCAACAGCTGGGATGCCCACTTGGGGCTGGGGGCCTGTGGAGAGTCCGAGGGCCTGGGGGCCCAGGGGGCCGAGGAGGAGGAGGAAGAGGAAGAGGAAGAGGAGGAGGAGGGGGCTAGCCTGCAAGCTTGCGCACCCAAGGGCCCAGGTAACACAGGACCTGGAGAGGCAGGGGCCTGGGAGGCGCGCGGGGCCCCATGGGGCCAGCCCTGGCTTCTCCGCCAACTAACTCACTTTCTGGAGGGAGTCACTGCTCTGTGTCGGGTGGGGGTCTGCTTATTGTCCTTCTTGTACAGTATTGGGGGCGGGACAGTGAGAGGAAGAGGTCTGCAGCATCTCTGATGGTCTTGGTCTTCTGTGGTTTTAGAAGGATCAAGGAGAGTGGAGGTGGGGGCATAGGTGGGGCTGGTGGGAAGGCTGGGAGTAGAGGGTGCTGGAAAGGTATGGCTTGACAGTGAAGTCCGGGGAAGGGGCTAGAATCTGGGTGTCAGGGCGGAGCGGGTAGAGTTTCTGGTCTGTGTGCAGGGCAGGAGCTGGAGGAGTTCAGGCCTCAGGAGAGAGGAAGAGCAGGGCCAAGGTCAGGCTGGGGGCTCAGAGTATAGAGTGAAGGAGAGGCTAGTGGAGGACCTGGCTGTGGCGGTGGGGGTGGGGCACTCCCTGGAGGGCCAGCATCTCAGTTCCTTCCCTCCCTCCAACCCTTTCAGGCAAAGCCCCAGCTGGTGAGGGCAGCCGATGCCAGCGGCGAGGGGGCCCAGTGGCACCCCGGGCTCGGCGTCGGCGCCTCTCAGCCTCCCGGAGGGCCGGGGGCAGCAGGGGGCTGGGGGCCCGGCGGCTGGAGCGGAGGCTGAAGGAGTCCCTGCAGAACTGGTTCCGGGCAGAGTGTCTCATGGATTATGACCCTCGGGGGAACCGGCTGGTGTGCATGGCCTGTGGCCGGGCACTGCCCAGCCTGCACCTGGACGACATCCGAGCCCACGTGCTGGAGGTGCACCCCGGCTCCTTGGGGCTCAGCGGCCTGCAGCGCAGCGCCCTGCTGCAAGCCTGGGGTGGCCAGCCCAAGACACTGTCTGAGCTCCCTCGGTCCCCACCAGGTGCGAGGCCCCTCCCAGGGCCAAGGACTCCCCCCCCCCATATTAGGGCTGCAAAGTGGGGTCTATGACCAAAACCGGGAGGGACTCCTGTCTACACCCACCCACCCCCAGACACAGACACATACATACACCCCACACCGGCTGGGGCCTCTAGATTGGGGCTGGGGTGAGGACCCCTCTGCGTGGGTAAGGGCAACCCTGCCACCAGGCTGAGCCCTTCTCCCTCACCCCTTCCCCAACAGACGATGACCTCGTCCCCCAGGACCTGACCAGAAAGAGCCGGGACCCCGCCCCCACTGCTGGAGCCCTCTCCTCTCAGGACCTCAGTCCCCCAGACGTAAAAAAGGAAGAGGCTGGCTGGGTCCCTGAGAGGCCCGGGCCCGCAGAGGAGGAGGAGGAGGAGGAAGGCGAGAGGGTGGGGGTCCCGGGCCGGTCGCCGCGGGGCCGGGACCACCGTCGCCGCTACCAGGAGCGCTGGCGGCTGGAGTACCTCATGGAGTTGGACGGCGGCCGCCGCGGCCTGGTGTGCATGGTGTGCGGGGGCGCGCTGGCCTCGCTCAAGATGAGCACCATCAAGCGGCACATCCGCCAGCGCCACCCGGGCTCCACGCGCCTCAGCGGGCCCGTCAGGGCCCTCATCGCCCAGGAGTGGAGCGAGAAGGCCGCTCACCTGCTGGCCCTGGGGCTGCCCCGCCCCGAGCCCCCCAGGGACCCTGCCGCCCCCGGCACAGCCGCAGCCTCCGAGGAGGGGGGTGGGGAAGAGGAGGAGGAGCCAGAGGAGGAGGAGTGGTGGGGTGAGCTGGCGCAGGGCCAGAGCAGGTGGCGCGGGAGAGTGGGGGCAGGGACCCGGGCCCGGCGGGGGCCGAGCGCCGGGAGTGCTTGGGTGGAAGCGGGTGGTGAGAGCGGAAGGCTGAAGGGCATATTGGGGAAAGTCGGGACCGGAGGCCCCAGGTGGGCGGCGGCGGAGCTGAGGCGCGAGACGCGGGCGGCTGGCCCTCTGCCGGCTCCAGTGCGCTCCTTTGTCCCTTCCTAGGCGATGTCCCGCTTTCCCCAGGGGAGCCGTCGGAACGGCCCACCGAGGACGACGAGGATGACGAGGACGGCCAAGAGTCCGGAGGACTCGCCTTCCCGCCGCTGCCCCCGCCGCCGCCGCCGCCGCCGCCCCCGCCCCGCAGCCGAGAGCAGCGGCGGAACTACCAGCCGCGCTGGCGGGGCGAGTACCTGATGGACTACGACGGCAGCCGGCGTGGCCTGGTGTGCATGGTGTGCGGGGGCGCGCTGGCCACGCTCAAGGTCAGCACCATCAAGCGGCACATCCTGCAGGTGCACCCCTTCTCCATGGACTTCACGCCCGAGGAGCGCCAGACCATCCTGGAGGCCTACGAGGAGGCGGCGCTGCGCTGCTACGGCCACGAGGGCTTCGGGCCGCCGGCCCCGGCGCCGCGCGACGGCGGCGCGGACCTCAAAGCGGGCGCCGTCTGCCGGGCGTAGCGGGCTCGCGGGGCGGGCGGGGCGGCTCCGCCCTGTGTTCCGCAGGCCCGCGGGCCCGGACTCCCTGCTTCCCGCGGCCCTGGCCGCCGGCGCCGCTGCCCCCGCCCCGCTGGCCGGGCCGGGCGGAGATAGGACTTGGGTGGGGTCGCGGGTTCCGCTCGCAGCCCCGGAGCCCCCCCACCCCACCCCGGGCCGGTCGGTGCGCCGAGGAAAGCGCGGGGCCCCACGTTTCCCGAGAGGCCAGCGCGGCCGCCAAGCGTGTGCACGGAGGGCCTGCAGCCCTAGCCCGCGCCAGGCCCGTGTGGGGGGTGCCGACTGTCAGTATTAGGGCCCCGAGGGCGGGGTGGGGGTTGGTGGGGGGCAGGAGGGCCGCGCCGGCTCGGTCCGCTGGCGGGGGCCCAGCTCCCTGTAGCGTTGCAGGCGGGCAGGCACGGCCCCCGGGTCGGGGGCGGCCGCTCCCGCGTCCTCATTGGTATTCGCGGCCGCTCGTAGGCCGGGACTGCGGACGAGGGCCTCCAGCGGAGGGCGGGGCGGCGGGGCTCGGGAGCCCGCCCGGGGCGGGGAGGACGCTTGGACCGCCGGCCGGCGGGCGGCCAGAGGCGGGGCCGGAGCTGGGCCGGGGCCCCGGCAGCTGCGCCAGCCTCCCGGGCGGGCTCTGGGGACAGCACGCCCCGCGGCCCCTTCCGGCTCCCCCGCTCCTGCCGCGCCCTCCTGGACCCCGATCTTGTAAAGGGATTAGCACTTTTCTCCTTTGCTCCTCTCCTGCTCCGAAGACCTCCGTTTTCCCCTAAACCCAGTCAGGCGCTCCTGCTCTAGGGTTCCCGTTGGTCCGAGTCCGGGGCACTGGAGGTCCCGGCAGTTGGAGTTCTATTCCCGTCCCCTCCTTGTCCCCCTTCGTACATGGTGGACGTGCCACCCATTCTCAGTCCCCAAGGGCCTGGGGCCGGGCCTCGGCCTTCCTTTCTCTTCCCCGCGGCAGCGCCAGGCCCGGTGGGGCCGGGAAGGGGCCCCGCGATCTCCCAGGCAGGTCCGAGTGGGGCGTGTAGATTCATTCTCCTGTGGAGAACAGGTGGCCCCGAGATCAGGCCCTTTTTGCTCTTTGTATTTTATTTTGAAACTGTATTTAATGCTTTTATATGAAAGGGAGAGGGGCGGGGAGAGAGCTGTCCCAGTCACCCTTACGTGCAAATGTCTTATTTATTATACGTGTATCAGAGATAAGCTGTGAGGTGGTGGAGAAAGGACCGAATGGAGGAAGGAGTGAGGACAGAGGTGGGGATGGGGGACCCTAAACATCCCGCACTAATGTGTGACTCTCCAGGCCTTTCTTGGAGTCTCTGGGCCTGTGTCTGCTCTTCACATGGCCAGGCTGGTTCTTTTGGTCTTAAAGCCTGAAAGTGGGGAGGTGGGACTAGCCGGGGAGGCCTGGAGGCAGAGGGGCCCCCCGGCACCTGGGGCCAGGGGCTCCCTCTGTGGGTGGGAACGCAAGACAGCAAAGAGGAAGCCCTTCCTCATCCCAGCACCCCTAGGCCAGATCCCAAGGTTCAAGTGCCTCAGGCCCAGTCCCCTTGACTCGTCCTGATTGGGAATTGGATTTTATACCATGGATTTTATAGCATTTTTATATAATTCAAGATTGTCAGAGTCCGAATGACCTTGGAGATCCACCAGTCCCCGCCCCCTCGGCCCCTTCCGCAGACAGGTAGTGAAGTTCGGAAACTGAAATGACACACAGCCAGGTAGAACAGTATAGAAATAGAATAAAAAGCTCAACTCCCAACTCAGTGTTGTTTGCACTACACCCCTCGGCCTCCCAATCTCTGGTCAATTAAGGTTTCTTTTCCCATGGGGCCTGCCAAAGGGTGGAACCGGTGCCACAGGCCGTTAGAGCAGAGTGGCCTCCTCCGGGGACGGCGAAGATGTGCATGGCTCCCTGGGACCAGTGTCGTCTAGGGCAGCTCTGGCTGCCTTGGACTTCAGCTCCAGGTTTCCGGCAGCCGCCTGCTCCCTCAGAAGTCCACGAGCGCGGCTGACGGTCCCCCCGTCCTGTGGCCTCCCCAGGAGGGCAAGGGCTCTGGCGTTGTGTTCTGTTCTAGGTGCCCCAGGGACTCAGGAAGTACTGCAGGAGCTGTCAGTTGGCTGAGAAGTGAATTTTGAACCTCCAGGGGTTGTGAGTCAGTATTAAGAGCTTGAGAACAGGGATTATGGATGGCACCAGGCTGGGCACTGCCATTCTTTTATTTTTCTTCATGCATGTTGTTTTCAGATCCAGAATGAGTATTTCACCACTTTTTGCGACTCTGCCTGTTCCAAAACAGGAGGCAGATTGGGGTGACCTCTTCTGGTTACCCAAGCCCACCGCCAAAGTTCAGGTAAGCCAGGACAGAGAGCTGGTCAGGAATGGCTTTTCCTCTTGACAGGCAGGGACGGAGGCCTTAAGACAGGAATGAGGGTCTTCGTTGAGAGGCAGCCCCAGGCACTCCAGGGGCTTCTCAAAGTGTGGCCATCGGACCCGTAGCATCACATTATGAACCTACTAGAAACATATCCTTGGGCCCCGTCTTGAATCAGAAATGGCAGCACCCAGCAGTCCTTTTGGATAAGCCCTCCAGTGCTCACGAAGCTGAAGATCTGAGCAGGAGTGGGCCCAGTGCCTCCGTAGGGGTTCCTGCTTTGACGGCCCCTACCGCCTCTTGGGGTGGGGGGTCAGGTTGTCCTCCTCTCTCTGTGCCTCCTCCTTGCCTTGGGAGTCTGACATGAACAGGTGAAGTTTCTTCATGAATTTTTTGTTGATGGTATGCTTGCTATTATGGCCAATATGTAAATGTTACTCTGAATCCATATTTATACGCCACGTTAGTGACATTACTCGAACATTACTTGTATGTGTATTTGTGAAGTTGTTGGCTTCAGTTATTTTTTAAAGAAAAATTTCAGCCTAAGTTTTCTAAGAGGTATGTTGAATAAATTTTTAAAATCCAGCTTAAGGGTCATGGCAGCCTTAGTTTTGGGGGAAGACTCAATCTGAAGGAATATGGTTCTGATGTATGTGGTCTCCACTTTCCATGGTGACTGACTCTGACGTCTAGGCTGCTTCACGCTGCGGGCGGGCGACCCTCTGAGGTTGGTGTGAGGCTGAACTGGGACAGCAGACCCGCCGGCCCCTTCCACTCCTCACCCTCTTTCTCCTAAGGTCACCTCTTAAGAGGGTCTCTGGGATCTTTCAGAAACCAAACACAACAGCTTTGCTCTACTATGGAAATTCTGCAATCTTGGGAATCATTGCCAGCCTCAACTATGAGCTGCTTTTTAAAGCATCAAGAGTGGAGTGGGGATGGGGCTGGTGGAAGCCTGGTTCTTACTTTACCCAAACTGTATGTATAAAGAATAAAGTTAGCAGAACGACACCACAGTCACTGTGTTTTTTAATTTTTTCTTTTTTATTAATACCACATCAATTTGCAGTTTACAGGAACCAAGATTCAAGTTCCTTAGGTGCTACTGTATTTTCATGTTGCACGTACATACACGCACATTTTCATTAGTAATAGTTCCATCTATAGGTTTTCCTTAAAAAAACAAAACAAAACAAAAAACCCATGAAACTCCTGTGTGGCACAAAGATCTGTCCAATTACCTAAACACAGCAGTAAAACAACAGAAGAGCTAGGTGTGGAGGCTTCCAGTGCAGAAAAGGGTCCTCTGGAGGGGAAGCCCAAAAAGCTGATCAGAGCACTGTCTTTCTGGGAGGGCCTAAGACAGGATGCAGAATGTGTTTCCAACTGAAATCAGCTTAAAACTTAAAAAGGAAAGGGGGCTAAGTAAATAGGAAAATGGAGTAAGGCAAGGGTACCTTTTACCCATCTAAATGCTGAAGTAACTTTTCCAAAACAGTAGAAAGAAAACTTCCACTACCTTCTAGAGAGTTGTAGTGCTTTGGGACCGTCAAAGACTGTAGCCCTTACTTTAAAGTCACCAACGCACATTCCCTCTGGATTATCATGACTATGAGTTTTACAACCTGAAGGAACTCTCACAGATGACTTCTTTCAAGTTGACTGAATTTTCACGTTGGAAGGGGAGAAAAGACACTTGTCAGCCTCAGCAGGAATCAGATTCCCGACGGCCCTCCATCTGATGTCCGTCTGGGTTGTTCTGTTTATCTTTCAATCACACACGGAGCCCCATCGACACAATCTGCTCCTGCCTGGTCGCCCTCACCTAAAACTTCTTGGAAAACTCTCAAAAGGAGCACCTTGGGCCAAGACAGGTGCTGAGGCATTTCATGTGCCTGAAGATGAAAGGAACCCTCAACACGTGACACACACCCATAAGCTAGCCTCAAAGTGAAAACTCTGTATGAACCACAGAACACACTTTCTTACACTAATTTGTGGTCTCTTAACCACAGACACATACAATCTCCTCTCAAGCCAGCTTGGCTTTGGTCCTTAGGGTACAGTGATGAGCACAGGTTAAAGATGTAGCATGTGAAGGAGGAAGCTGTGGAGAAAAGACAAAAAGCAAAAAAGACCTTTTACGTTTCTAGATTCGCCTTTTGAGAATGGTTCCCCCCCATGGACCGAGACAGGATTACAATAACTCAACAACTGAGGAGCCCACATGCGGATTATACTTTTTCTCTAACAAGTTTACAGCAGTGTACAGCAGTTACAGACATTTATTTCATAATAAGAAAAGTACAACCATATTTATTAAACTTGAGGTGAGGTGGGCAAGGAAGAGGGAGGAAAGCACATTCAGGAATGAGTTCTCAAACTAAAGCCCAGAACTGGTGCCCACGAGAATAGACACAGATGCCACCCTCCCAAAGGCAGAGACTTTCCTTTCCTAGGGGGGAGCGGGAGGGGAGGGTCGTCCCAGCCCCACCTTCCATTTCCATTCTTGGTTCCCAGACGGCATTCTGGGAAGCAGGAACTATCTCTATCACCTACAGGTTATTCATAGAGTTGGAAGCTATAGCATTACACAAAGAAGAGGAGTATTAGGAGTAGCTGCTCACATTGTGGGGCCGGAAGATGGGATCAGAGGTTCACCAAAACCCATGGGAAGGAATCCCACTCCTGTCCCCAGATAATTTCCTCATAAGTTAATCATTATTTCTTAACATAAAAATAAGGGTAAAACTCGGATGGGAAGCTGGGTAAGACTAGTCCTTGAGACCTGGATAGCAGAGTCCAAGAGCAGTGCTTTCTTTCATTATTTCCTTGACCTCCAACCTCTCCCCTTTCAAGCTACAAGTAAAAGCTCCGCCACCATTAAGGTACGATTTATCCTATTAATTTGACTCTTTCTTTATTCTTTTGGATCCTAAGGTATCAGTTCTTTTTTTAGTCCAACAATTCTTGTGCTTGATACTGAGGGTAACGGGAAAGGAGGGGAGAAAACAAATTAAGAAAAAGAAGCTTGGAATGCAGGCTCGAGCTGACGCTGAGCGCGTTCCTTCATAGTACAGGTAATAACGTTATGACTATTAAGTGGTGTTTTAGTAACTGTTGCATTTCTGGTTTCCATGTACTTATTCTGCCTTTTTTTTTGCGATTCCAGGGAGTTTTGCTTGTATCCTATTGAAGGAAAAAAAAAAAAAGAAAAAGGTGAGAAAGGACGTTAGTTGTAGGTTTTTACTTTTAACAGTGACACCGAAAGACGGCCCTGGGCTTGCTGGAGAATGTGACACAATCTCTCATTTCCACAGGGCTTACTCTGGATGAAAAATGCGGGGCCGAGTCTGGTCTGGGATGAGCTGAGGGGTCCGCAAAGATTCATGTCCTCTCAATGCCGCCATGCCTGCGGCCTGTCCTCTTGCACTGCCTGCGTCTCCTGGGTCCTTCACTGGGGGTTCCAGAGAAGAATTAAGGGGATCTGGGCCTAACACCTGCTGCGTTCCACACACAGCAGAAAAGAGCCCATTTCTCCGGGAATGCTAGGTGACCCACTAGCGCTACAAAAGGAACCAGGAGTCAAGGGTCAAGGTGACAGGTAAAAAGACTACAGGAGCTGGCAACAGTTCCTGGCCCCTCGCTGGACACCAGAGCCACCCTTCATTTTGTGCATTAAGGTTACTCTTCACTAAGGTCATTCACATACCTCTCAGCCAATGTCAAAGCCACTCTTCACAATTAGATCCCACAACAGGGACTGACCAAGACATTAGATTTAAAGCTAAGCGACGTCTATTATTTCACAATCAGAAGTAAACAGCAACCAGATACATATTTGTGCTAACTGTCCTTGCCTGGTGTTAGCTCTAATGCATACGTGTAAAAGCAAAAGAGCAAGTAAAGACCCTGGCATCAAGCCAGAACTGTGTCATATACTCGTAGTTCCCGCTTACCAAAACTGGGAAAAGCACGAAAATTGGGAGGCGTGAAAGGGACTGGGGCGGGGAAGGGGTTGCACAAAAGAGGTTTAGCTGCTTGTGTTCTATTTCTTAAATGTCAACATTTTAGTTAGAAGTGTGGGTTCCTTAGTGTTTGCCATGATTGGGGGGGAAAAAAAAGCCCAAAACAAAAAAACTAAACAAAAAAACCCCAATGGCTCCCTGGTAGAGGGAGTCATAAAAATGTCTATCAATAGTTTATTACTTGATTTCAATACTAAATTGGTTCAAAAAAAAAGGAGAGAAAACAGGGATTTTGGTAGTTGAGGAAAAGCAGCACTGGCTTTGAGTCATTTATTTAGTAAAACTCTTATTTCTGGGGATGCTTGGGTGGCTCAGCTGTTAAGCGTCTGCCTTTGGCTCAGGTCATGATCCCAGGGCCTGGGATCAAGCCCCACATCCATCTCCCTGCTCAGCGGAAAGCCTGCTTCTCCCTCTCCTACTCCCCCTGCTTGTGTTCCCTCTCTCGCTGTGTCTCCGTCAAATAAATAAATAAAATCTAAAAAACCAACCAAACAAACAAAAAACCCTCTAAAACCTCTTATTTCTGAAAAAGGAGGGATGAGTTTGGTTTAAAATTGATTAATGTGGGCGGGTAGCTTCAGACACTTAAAAGGCCAAGTCAGAAAGGCAAAAGGTTCTAATTCCACAGTTCCTTTTTAATCTAAGATACAAAGAATGTTTTTTAAGGAAGCAGGATGAAATAATTTGTAGTAAAAATCAAACTATTAACCAACATTTTTCTTCAGGATCAAGATTCCTTTCTTTGAGTCAGTATTTTATAGAGGAGGCTGAAAATAATTGGGGAAGAAAAGCACACATTCTGATAAAACGTGGAACTAAAGTATACTTACTTTTCAACAATCGACTTGGTCTGATCACGGGCGATGCCAACATAGTGATCAATCTGGGTCTTTAAGGAAAGGGAAGAGACTCGGTTATGGCAACACAGATTAACAATTTTCCTGAAAATAATGTTGTTATCTAGTTTAACCATTTCTTAAAAACACTATTGCATATTCTGGGAAATGAGAATAATGTCAGTTTTTAAAATTTATTATTATTTTTTATTTTAAGTAGGCTCCATACCCAGCACAGCGCTTGAACTCACAACCCTGATGATATCAAGAGTCAGATGCTCTATTAACTGAGCCAGCCAACCGCCCCGATAATGCCCAGTTTTTAAGAGTATTTTTAAAACTTCAGGTATTGGGGCATCTGGATGGCTCAGTTGGTAAAGCATCTGCCTTCGGCTCGAGTCATGATCCCAGGACCCTGGGACTGAGCCCCACACATTAGGCTCACTGCTCAGCAGGAAGCCCACTTCTCTCTCTCCCCCAGTTTGTGCTCTCTCTAGTTATCTCTCTAATAAATAAAATCTTAAAAAACCAAAAAGCCCCCCTCCCCCAATTTCAGGTATTAGGGGTGCCTGGGTGGCTCAGTCAAGGCCTGATGTCAGCTCAGGGTTGTGAGTTCAAGCTCTGTGGTGGGTTCCACACTGGGCACGGAGCCCATAAACAAAACAAAACCCCCCAAAAACCTTTCAGGTTTCAGACTTTAAATTATGCCATAAACGCCTTATAATAGTCTGTTGAAGTAAAAATCTCTTGTTTCTTTTGCTAAGGTCTTACTTGCTAGGTATTTCCTTTACAGACACTAGAGTAAAGCATTTTCTAAATACTAAAAATTGTCTAATCTATATTCTGTAATCACAAATGTTGTTTTGGCTCCTAGGTAAGACTAATTCATTTAATATCAAAAGGTATAAATAAAGTCTGTTGATTGAGGACTTAATCTATGAAGAACAACCTCAGAGCATCTGGCAAGGCTGTACCATTCTACAAAGCAATCATCTCTTCCCACAGATGGAGTCCCATAATAGCCTTGATAGTTTAAATTTCTTTTCAGACGCCAGCTTTTATTTATTTAAGCATTTTTTCGACTTATTTTTTTGAATGGATAATGCATCCCCATGAAAAACTTAAAAGACATACAACAAGTCATAAAAATGTACCTTCCTACCCTTCTCTCTCCTAAACATTCAGTTTCTCTTGGTACAGGAAACCACTACTTCTCATAGGCTCCTGACTCACAAACTCAGACTGCAGAAATGGTTACAGAATGATCGCTCATGGGGTGCCTGAGTGGCTCAGTCAGTTAAGTGTCCTACACTTGGTTTCAGCTCAGGCTGTGAGATCTCAGGGTCGTGAGATCAAGCCGGGTGTGGAGACTGCTTGGGATGCTCTCTCCTCTTCCCCCTGCCCCCTCCCGCTTGTGCACTCTCTCTCTAAAATAAGTAAAGGAAGGAATGAAGGAAGGGCGGGAGGGAGAGGAAAGGAAAAGAAAAGAAAATGATCACTCCAAATGTTCAATAACTAAAAAATGGACTAAAGCTAGTCATACATCAACAGGCACATATGACTCAAAACAGGCAAGTGCTCACCTTGTACTTCTCATAGACAATGGGGACACTGAAAATGAGCAGTTCGGCTGTAAGAGAATCACAGGACACGGCAAGTGTACATGTGAGACAGTCAAAAAGATCCAAGATTCAAGTAACATACATTTTCCTCATGAAATACGGGGAAACACAGATCTTAAATATGAGAAATCCTACTTAGGGCTCGCAATTAAGGACGGTTAGCTATAGGTACACAGGCTTTCTTTGTATCACAAATAATTTCTAAATTATGAAAATGATTTCTGTAAGATCCCTATATTTAACACAAATGTAGGCAACTCTCCTTTACTTCTATTTTGACACTTCTTTATAGTTAGGACCTTTCAAAAATCCTATGGCCACAAACACAGGTTCTTCCAACATCTAATTCAAGGTTTATAGATGTTAAAGGCTGGGCCGCATGGAAGGAGTGGAGACATGCCGGGCATTCTCTTGGCTCCTACTTTTTACCAATTACAAATGACTGCTGAACATCATGGGGATTAGGAGGACGGATACCCCACACAGTCAAAAATCTGCACAGAACTTTTGACTCCCCTAAAACTTGGCCAGAAGTGTTACCAAGAACACAAACAGTCGATCAACACATTATTTTGTATGTATATTATATGCTGTATTCTTACTGTACGGTAAGCTAGAGAAAAGAAAATGCTAGCCAGAAAATCCCAAGAGAAAATACATTTACAATACTGTACTGTAAAAAATCTGCGTATAAGTGGGATCCCACAGTTCAAAGCTGTGTTGTTCAAGGGCTAGCTGTACTTCCAAGAGCACGGAGACATTTTCCTTGTTGCCTTACCGAGAATCAGAAGGGTGATTCCATTGAAAACGGCACCAACATAGGTCATCAGCCACATGAAGACAGCCAGCTGCGAAAGCCAACATCAGAGGATTACGCAGGAACCATCATAATGCAAAATTTAGGTTCACTGATGCCATTCTCCCCTTGCCGATTAAGTCTGCATAAACTTAGGGACGTATGCCACACACAATTATAATGGCACAACGAAGGTTCTACCTTGTCTGCACCACACATTTGCAGGGTGCATCAGAGAATTCCGTAGTTCTCTGAAGCTCTGCGACAGACTGTGACTGTGTTTTGGTCAGTGATGTTGCCCCTGTTGGGAGGGTACTTAGTTCCATGGGTGCAGGAGATGTCTCTTCCTCTCCTGACTCCTATCCCCATTTTTCACAGGCTGGTTGAGAGAAGCATACACTTGTTTTTGTGTGATAAAACCCTATTTACTGGTTTTCCTCTGATTTATAACTTAGTCCCTGGCTGTCCTCAGCCTCACCACCAAAAGCTGTAGAAGCAACTGACCTTCAAGGAGTCAACCAAATCTTCCACCAGAAAGAGACGAATAATGAGTTTCAGGGCTCTGTTGATGCGTACCATGGCAGCATTCACGTAATTATGGAAAGCTTCTGAGGACAGAGTAATGTCTACATCCAGGTAGGCTCTTCCAGAAGAAGAAACAACAGTCATACACTTGACACGGAAGAAGAACATCTTTGCTAGTAGAACAGTTATTTAGGGTGTGAAATTCCCCCAAAGGCACATTTTAGAAATCTGTAGGAGCATTTTTCGCTGTCATGGGCTGGGGAGAGGGGACCATCGTCTTTCAGCAGACAGAGGCAAAGATGCCAGATGTCTGCAAAGTGTGGGGCAGTCATACACAATAAAGTAGTGTCCTATGCCCTGCATAAACTTTTACGGCCTCATGGGATATTCATTTATAATTATCAAAAGCCCAGAACATATAAAAACAAGGTATTTTCCCCAGTTTTAACATATCCTGAATTTTCTAAAAAGACTGTATTTTGTGTATGCTGAACTTTACTAAGATATTTTACACCACTTTGGAAAGTCACATCTGTATTGGAGATTACACATCTAAGTGTAAGTATATAATGTCTCTATTGTTTTGTGTGTGTGTATAGTCATGTCCAAGCAGTTAAATATTGACTGGAATATGTATTATTTTACTATAAATGACCTTCCATCTTATCATTCCTTTATATTACAAGTATAGTCTATTTTTGAAATTTTGCTTATAGCTATCTATGAATTTCATTTCAAAACATTAAAAGAAGCATTACAAAATATTTGTTAGCAAAAGAAAAAAGAGGGTGGAGATACTGAGTCTGATAGGGTCGACAACTATAGGAAAAGACAAAGACTTGGGTTCTGTTCACAGATGCACTAGAGAACTGCGATGTAAGCGTGTGCTCATAACTAGTTCATTCACTCAGTACTTAGTGAGTGCCTACTGAGTATCAGACCCTCGCCATGTGCTGGCATATCAAGAAAGAAAAGACTGCTTTTGCCTTAAAGAGCCTACAGTCTTGCAGGAAAAACAGACAAGGAACAGATATGCTTTCCTTTTCTATTTATTAAGAAAGTATTTACTACCTAATACAAAAGTTATAAAAAATAGATGCTGTAATTTATACAACTTGACAAAACACATTTCATGATCCACAACAGTGTCCTGCAAAAGAGGAAAAATCCTAAGACCCCTGAGCTTGTGGCAAAAGTCATATTTATTCACTCAGTGAACAGCTACTGATTTGTTAAAATTAACTGGTGATAACTTTTTAAATGCCACATATAGTTTAAACTGTCTTCTATTTTCACCAAGAGAAAATTAAAAAAGGACCAGAGCTGCAGCCAGACACTGATTCTGTCATAGTCTTGAGAGGTCACAGAAGAGTTTCTCTCCCTATAAGAAAAAGGCTTTAAAAAAACTGCCATTTGCGAATACTAAAATTGTTCATGGGCCAAGATTTCCAAGAGGAAAAGTGTGAGGAAAACATTTGTTAAAAGTCACAACACAGGGGCGCCTGGGTGGCTCAGTGGGTTAAGCTGCTGCCTTTGGCTCAGGTCATGATCTCAGGGTCCTGGGATCGAGCCCCGCATTGGGCTCTTTGCTCAGCGGGGAGCCTGTTTTTCTCTCTCTCTGTCTCTGCTACCTCTCTGCCTACTTGTGATCCTTCTCTGTCAAATAAATAAATAAAATCTTAAAAAAAAAAATAAAGTTACAACACAGAAAAGCTAGCAAGTGGATTCTAGAAATGCATGACCTACTGATCTCAAGACTTGCTCCTGGTAGTAAGAAAACTAAAGGGCGGTGGGGGAGGTTTAGAAAACTAAAGGAGAGATAAGAAGGAAATCAGTAATAAAACTAAGAGCAAACATATCAAATTCTGATATTGCCAAGAGCACAGCCTCAATACTGAGATTTCAAAGTTGTTTTAAGGTTTAACTATATGGGGGGGGCCTGGGGGATGGGGTAGCTGGGTGTTGGATATTAAAGAGGGCATGTGATGTAATGAGCACTGGGTCTTATATAAGACTGATGAATCAATGAACTCTACCTCTGAAACTAATAATATACTGTATGTTAATTAACTGAATTTAAATTTAAAATGTTTAAAAAATCAAAACCAAAACCAAACCAAAACAAAAACAGTTAACTATAATAGGGAACTTAAGCATGTCCTTGGGACCCCATCTAACTGGGTGCTGTCCTGGAGGCCCCGCTCAGGAGTTCAAGCAGTCTTCTTTGATATTAAAGTGTGAGCCTCTAGTTTTTTTTTTTTTTTAAAGATTTTTTTTTTTTATTCATTTGACAGATAGAGATCACAAGTAGGTAGAGAGACAGGCAGAGAGAGAGGAGGAAGCAGGCTCCCTGCTGAGCAGAGAGCCCGATGCGGGGCTCGATCCCAGGACCCTGGGATCATGACCTGAGCCGAAGGCAGAGGCTTTAACCCACTGAGCCACCCAGGCGCCCCAGTGAGCCTCTAGTTTGTCCAAAAGTACTTGGCTCCTAAATTGATCACTTTTGAAGAGACAAGGTTTCTAGCTGACGGTTCCTGCGAGGGATCAGCTGCATTAGGCTAATTCTTCACTTAGTCCGGTTTGCTTGGCAGACCTGCCCGCCAGCCTGAGCAAACCCCTTCTCTAAACTGGCGAGTGTTACTTGTGACATTTCCACTCACTTGAACGGATGGCCCTCTTCTGATTTCTGTACAGCTTGGATGACAGACTTGTAGACCCTGAAGCTGATGGTGACAGAGAGAAGAGCCAGGATGAGGTAAGAAATCACACTGATAACACTGAAAGCTGCCAGGGAGAGCAGCATGATCAGTGTGGTGCCGAAGACAAAACCCGTCTTCTTCACATCTCGCCAGAAAATCAGATCGTGCACTGCCAAAAGAAAAGGGAACACAGGTTACATGGGAGCATGCGGCCAGGCCGGCTCTTGGGCTGTGTCCTGCACACCCGAGAAGCATTATGCTAATGTAGTTACATAACACACAGCTCAGGCGCACCCCTCCTTAAAAGAATCTGATAAATGAAAATCAAACTGTAGGTCAGGAGTGGGGACTCATACTGCAGAAGGTTCCTGCGGTTTCTGTACAGGTTCACAAAAACTTAGAAACTTCTTTTTTTTAGAGATGGCTACTGAAGTACAATGGGATAAAATATCAATTTCTTGAAATGTTTCAACAGAAAGGGTAGACTAAGTGTGATAAACTCTTGTTAATGGTTGACTGAATGAAGCAAACCATGGCGACAAATTCATCTGGTCACTATAAAACCAAAGCTAAGGTATGTATAATAAATTGGGTGGGAGCAGAAGAGAGCGGTGTATAAAAAGAAACCCAACTCTATTCGTGTTGGCTACAGTGGAACCCCAGTCTCTCCGTTAATCTGAAGAGAACTCAGGAAGGACGGTGGGTAGGGAACTACATTATTATCTAAACCGCAATACCTCTGGAAATGAATGGGGACACTATTACTAATTGTTAGGAAATAGGTATAAATCAAGACTGTCTCAGACAAGTGGGTCTTGTGGTGAGGGACAGCCAGACTGGAAAAATCTAAGTTCTTCTACTTAAAGACTCAAGAACTGTGTAAAAGTTGCTAGTAATTACCATCAATCTAGCAACGACCCTGTATTTGAATTTCAATCTGCGAAGGTTATTAACTTCAACACAAATGGTCCTTTTGCAGCGTTCTTCTGTTCATAAAGAAGGGAAAGGGCTTTAGAGCTGGAGCGACAGGAGTTTGAATCCTGGTTAATTTTTAGCCATATTGTCTTACATGACCATTCTAAAGCTTTGTTTTTTCTTTTGTAAAAGAAAGTAACACCTATTTCCTAGAGTTGTTTTTATAGGACACCAATGCAGTAGAATGCTTAGCACTGTAAGTGACCTGCAGTAAACACTCACATTTTAACTATACTCAAAATAGGACAGGTCTCTAAGACTGTGATTGAGGGTAAAATGAACTTGATTCTGTTCAAGTGGACCCCCTGGCACCTAGATCTTCCCCATATTCCAGCTACAATACTCACCCCTGAAGCCTAACCTTGCTATTGCCAACAGAACCTAACTTGAAACTTTCACCCTGAAGGTATGCTGACTGTACAGAAGAAACAATCCCTGGCTGAGAGAGTCCAGCCAAGGGATGTGGCACTAGGAGAAGTAAGAGGCATTATGATTCCTGATGGGAATGCAAAGGAAGAGAGCTGGGAGGCAAATCAGGCTCACCTGATGGGACAGAAAGCTGAACAGAGTGCTGCCTTCTTAGGAGAGCAAATACTAATAAGCAGGATTCCTACAGTCAGAGAGTCTAAGTATATAGACGCCACAGCTCCTAAGACCACAAGCACAGTTTCAACAAAGAATACTTCTGAATGGAACAGATAACCATGTGCCTCTTTGGTGTAATGCACCGAGGATACAACATCACTTCTGTGGTATTCTTGCCAATAACAAAGAACCAAGATCTAATAAAACACCAGAAAACCCAGACTGAGAAATTCACAACATGGATGGACGTAGAGGGTATAACCCTAGGTGAAATAAATCAGAGACAAATACCCTATGATTTCGTCCACATGTGGAAAGTAATAAACAAGTGAACAAAGGAAAGAGACAAACCTGACTCTTTTTTTTTTTTTTAAGATTTTATTTATTTATTTGACAGACAGAAATCACAAGTAGGCAGAGAGGCAGGCAGAGAGAGAGGAGGAAGCAGGCTCCCCGCAGAGCAAAGAGCCCGATGCAGGGCTCGATCCCAGGACCCTGGGATCATGACCTGAGCCGAAGGCAGAGGCTTTAACCCACTGAGCCACCCAGGTGCCCCGACAAACCCGACTCTTAACTACAGGGAATACACTGTTGCTTGCCAGAGGGGAGGTGGGGGGGGTGTGAAAAGGTGAAGGGGGTTTGGAGTGGGTACACTTACTGCTATGAGCGCCAAGTAATGCACAGCACTGCTGAACCATTACTCTGCACACCCTGTAAGCGTAACACTGTACTTAATTATTCTTTAATAAAAAATAGCAAAAAATAAAGGAGATAAAATTTGAGAACACATAAATGTCACGTGTGAGGACTACAGACTGAACACTGGATAAAGGAGTAAAAACGGCTGTAAAGGACACCACTGGGACAGAGACAAAATCTGAACGTGGACTACGTAACTGATAAAAGCACAGGTGAGCCTTCAACAACCGGTGCTTGAACCGCAGGGCTCATTTTCATGGATTTTTTCCCAATAAATACAGTATAGTACTTGTAAATGTATTTTTTCTTCCTTTTGACTTTCATAATGACATTTTCTTTTCTCTGGCTTACTCTGAGCATATAGTATACAGTACACAGAACATACACAATGTGTGTTAGCTGACCATTCACGTTAGCAGTAAGGTTAACGGTATGCGATTAGTAGTTACATTTTTGGAGAATCAAAGTTATACGTGAATTTTTGACTACATGGCACTCACTGCCTGTTACCATGATGTTCAAGGGTCAACTATATGGTACCAATATTAAACTTCCTAAATATAGTAAGTGTACTGTGGCTATGTACATTCTTGAAAAACATTCTTGCTCAAAAACGAAGACAGGGGTGCCTGGGTGTCTCAGTGGGTTAAGCCTCTGCCTTCGGCTCGGGTCCTGGGATCGAGTCCCGCATCGGACTCTCTGCTCGGTGGGGAGCCTGCTTCCCCCCCTTCTCTCTCTGCCTGCCTCTGCCTACTTGTGATCTCTGTCAAATAAATAAATAAAATCTTAAAAAAACAAAAAAACAAAAAAACCCCCAAAAACGAAGACAAACACAAACACTCTAAAGTGGAAAGGGGTGTGAAGGGGCAGGATGTTTGCAATCAGCTCTTAAACAGTTCAGGAAAAAACATGTATCAGGTGCCTGGGTGGCTCAGTCAGTTAAGTGTCTGCCTTCAGCTTGGGTCATGATCTCAGCGTCCTGGCTTCAGGCCCCATGTTCGGCTCCCTATTCAGCCAGGAGTCTGCCAGTCCCTCTCCCTCTGCCCTGCTTGTGCTCTCTTCTTTCTCTCAAATAAATAAATGAGATCTTAAAAAAAAAAAAAAAAAAAGAAAAGAAAGAAAAAAACATGTATCTATGGAGAGGAGGTGGGAGAAATAAAGCAAAAGTAGGCAAATGTTAACAACTGGTGAACTAGAATGAAGGTTATGTGGGAGTTTTTTGTACTATACTTGGAATTCTTTAAGTTTAAAATATTTGAAAGAAACACAGAAAAATAAAAAAAAAAGAAAAAAGCTTACAGGGTAAGACTGGGGTCCAGAGAGAAAAAGACCTCAATGTATCAAAGAGAGGTAATGACACTAGCATACACGCGAATCTAGATTAGCAAAAGCCACCCTATCTTCATGAACCTTACTGCCATCTGCTGGAAGACCATTGGAAGAAACAGTGAAACCTACAGTGATAACATACTTGAATCGTGTCCCATAGAGGTGTGCAGTACACAACCTGCACAACAGTACAGAAGTCCCTAGGCTGAGCCTTAAAAATCAATGGTAGAGGGGCACCTGGGTGGCTCAGTGGGTTAAGCCTCTGCCTTCAGTTCAGGTCATGATCCCGGGGGTCCTGGGATCGGGCTCCCTGCTCAGCGGGGAGCCTGCTTCCTCCTCTTTCTCTGCCTGCCTCTCTGCCTACTTGTGATCTCTCTGTCAAATAAATAAAATCTTTTTAAAAAAACTCAATGGTAGGGGCACCTGGGTGGCTCAGTGGGTTAAAGCTTCTGCCTTCGGCTCAGGTCATGAAACCGGGGTCCTGGGATCGAGCCCCGCATCGGGCTCTCTGCTCAGCAGGGAGCCTGTTTCTTCCTCTCTCCTTGCCTGCCTCTCTGCCTACTTGTGATCTCTGTCTGCGAAATAAATAAATAAAATCTTAAAACAAAACAAAACAAAAAACAAAAAAACTCTATGGTAGAATTATGGTCTCTAGAAAAGGGGGACACTGATTAAAGGGGCTATAACAGAGGAAAAGGAAAGGCTGGTTAACCCCTCAAACCTCGGGCTGGGATGCTCTTCCTCCACAATGTCACCTTACTTGTTCCTTCACCTCATTTGGGTCCTGGTTCATGGGATACTGCCCTCGGACTGCCCATCCCATTGAACATACCCCTCCTTTGATCACGCTCCATTCTCCTTATTCTGCTTTATTTTTCTTCGATCTGCTGTTAAGTGCTTAAAGCATGGGCTAATTAACCACAGTCTGCATTTGTTTCCTCTCACAGAGGCCAAGGTTCTGCACCTGGAGCCCATCCAGTACAGTGGACCAAGGATCTGAGTACATGATACGATACGATACCATACCAAACCAAAGAAAGGAACTTGGCACAGTCTGGAAGTGCTGTCCTCTGATTGTCAAGGGCGAGTTAGGAGGACAAAACACATGAAGAAAATGGCAAGGGGGCACCTCATGGCTCAGTCAGTTAAGTGTCTCCTTTGGATCAGGTCATAACCCAGGGTCCTGGGATGGAGCCCCACATCAGGCTCCCTGATCAGCAGGAGCTGATGCTTCTCCTTCTCGCTCTCTCTCTCTTAAATAAATAAACATCTTAAAAAAAAAAAAAAAGAAAGAAAAAGGCAATAAAAGAGGCAGCTGCTGAAAGTTTAAAATGGTGAAGCCTCTAGACTTGGTTTTAGTGTTTGCTTCACAACCAGAAAAGCACCAAGAGGCTACAATGGTTTGGTTCCATAAAATGTTTTTTCCCTCTTCTACTTTCATTTATCTGCTCCTCCTACTTCAGTACAGAATTTTTTAAAAATAGGAAATTCCTTATTTTCAATGTGTTCTTTTCCTTCCTTCCCCAGCCCCCTCTTCTCTCAGCAAACTTGATTTTTTATTTTTATTTTTTGAGAGAAAGA